GCTGACCTGGGTTCGATTCCCAGCATCTTGGTCCCCACAGCACCAAGAGCAATTCCTGAGGACAGAGCCAAGAGTAACCCCTGTGCATCGCCAGGTGCAACCCAAAAAGCCAAAGTAAGTAAGTAAATAAATAATTAAAAATAGAAAAATAAATTGCTCGAGCGGGCCCAGTAACGTCTCCATTGGAGACTTTGTTGTTACTGTGTCTGGCATATCGAATACTCTCGGTAGCTTGCCGGGCTCTTCGAGGGGGCAGAGGAATCGAACTTGGGTCGGCCATGTTGGCCTCTTGTAAGGCGAACGCCCTACCTCTGTGCTATCACTCCAGCCCCAGAAAAATAAATAAGAAAATAAAATCGACTTTGTACCTCCCCTTTATAATGAGACCTTCAAGGCCCCCAGCTTTATAGCTGCCTGTGCCATTAAGAAGCTGCACACAAGAGGTGGGGGACAGAGTGATAGTAGAGTTTGATAGTACACTTGCACAAGCCTGACCCGGGTCCAATCCCCAGCATCCCATGTGGTCCCCCGAGCACAGGCAGGAATGATCCTTGAGCATTAGTGTCAGGAGTAAGCTGGGTGTGGCTCCCTACTGAACCCCCCAAAAAAGAGCCTTCTTCCTGTGACCTCTAATCTAACTGAATTTTCTCTCTAGTACTAACCACATGTGCTCCTCGCCAGCTGTACCTGATGTCCTTGATTCTTTTCACCTGCACCTTTTGATCTTTATTACTTCCTCCTGTCTAAGACTCAAGCACCTATCAAACCGCACATGTTTCAATTTCACTGTATTCCTAGGAAAAAAAGCTATTCCTCAGTCTACAGTACTGTTCCATGGACAAATGTATATCCTAATCAGAACAGGGAAAGGGATTAAATAAAGCCATATTTAAGCATAAATACATAATTGACAATGTTACCCTTTAACCCTTTAAAATCCTCAATTTGCTGTGCAGCCCTTTTAGCAAAAGTCCTGAATCCTTAGATACTGTTTTATTAGAATAACTTAATTTCCATCTTAAAGCAATAAAAAAAATAAAAACAGAATCGCTCTATTTTACAGTTTTCAACCATTCCCACAGCACACTTTATAGAATCATTCCTAAATTTTCCACTTGACCTTCTAGGAAAACATAAACCCATGCCCATAATATTCTCATTTCTCTACTACACGTACTTTCTCCACACATTCACATTCAGCCTCTCTCCACTCTCCTCACATCCTCCAACAGAGAGCTCTTACAGGTACTGGAGAAGCACAGTGCCCTGGGGTACACAATGGAGCCACTGTACTAGGAGGAGGAGTTTCGAGTGGGAGGGGCAGAGTATTATAAATAGAACTAAAGAAGTGAACCTTTTCTCCCTTGGATCTTTCTGATCTTTCTTCCTGACCTTGGAAATGGTGTAAATTCCAGACCTTGGGGCTCCCGCAATTTGGGAGGGGTGGAGATTCCAGAGAAAATAGGATGGGCCCCATTTGGAAAGACAAACTGGGCTTGTCTTCGAGGGAAAGAGGGGCCCAGCAGCACACGGGTATTGCCCAGCCCATGGAGGTAGAAGATGCCAGGGCAGGGAGCTAATTAGGAAGAGAATGTGTCTGTCTGCAGTCTACCTCACATACTTCTCAGAGGCAATGGCAGGCACAAGAGTTGGCCAAAAGGAATCCGAGCCTTTCCTCAACCTCACATTCCCAAGAATCTTTTCATAGCCCTCTCTGGATACAGAGACAAAAAGAGAGAAAATGCATATATATGTGTATATATACACTCACACACACATATATATGTATGTATAAGTAGCCTGAAGAGGTGCTTTCAACATTATTTTCTAATCAAAATTTTAAATCACAACAAAATAATCATTTCATCCAGATTGCTTATAAGGGCCTCCAAAAATTAATACATCTCCACAGAACCAGGATCATAGGCAGACTATACCAGGGAAATATGCCACTCTTATGTCCTGCCTTAGATCCCAAAGACTAAAATATAGAGATAATTGCAAATACCTCACTGCCTCAGTCACTCCTAAGTAGTCAAAGCACCCAACTGAAATTTGATGCAGGGATTGGGTCCCTAGGATGTAAAGGAAAAGGGCTGGTTTCCTTACTGTAAAAAAGAACCTGACATCCTCACTATTGCAATACATTCTTTGAAAATGTGGCTTTATGCAGACTGACACCGAATAAATGACACAGCTCTTTGGATAAGACCATTTTGTTCAACTCTGGGCCACACCCCACAGTGCTTATGGCTTATTCCTGGCTCTGAGTTCAGAGGTCATTCCTGGTGAGGTCTAGGGTACCACATGGGGTGCCAGGAATAGAACCTGAGTCAGCCACATGTGGCAAGCACCCTACCCACTGTACTAGCTCTCTGGCCCCTCTTGGGTCTTATCAGTGTTATAAAGAAATCACAGTGGGAACAACAAATGAGCAAAGGCAATAGGACCTGAGACCTAGTCTATAGAACTGATCTTACTGTGAGAGGCTGAGAGATAGTACAGCAGGTATGGTGCTTGCCTTGCACACAGCCAATTCGAGTTTGATCCCCAGAACCCCATCAGGTCTCCCCAAGCCCCATCGGGAGTGATCAGAGAGCCAGAAGTAATCCCTGAGCATTGCTGGGTGTGGCCCAACCTGCCCCCCCCCCCAAAAAAAAGAAAAAAAGAACTGAGCTACTATGATGGGCAGATGTGGCCGGGTGGGGTGACCCTGAAAGAGTGGGGAAGAGAAGCAGATACTCTGATGGGGTTGTGGTGTCAGAATGGTGTACACATGAAACTCTAACATTAATAGTATTATAAGTACAGTGACCAAAATAAAATTTATAAAAAGAAAAAACTATAAAAGGAGGCAAACAAGTGTTCAGGCAATAGAATAACTCTCCTCAGTTTCTTACAGAGGTGAGATGATTGAAGTAGGTTGAACTAGATTGCGATGGCAAGGAGTGAAGACACTCAGTAAAAGTACATTTTACAGTGGATGGGACTGGAGCCATAGCACAGCGGGTAGGGCGTTTGCCTTGCACGCGGCCAACCCGGCCTCGATTCCCGATTCCCAGCATCCCATATGGTCCCCAGAGCACCGCCAGGAGTAATTCCTGAGTGCATGAGCCAGGAGTAACCCCTGTGCATTGCAGGGTGTGACCCAAAAAGCAAAAATAAAAATTTTTAATTTTTAAAAAAAAGCCTTCCTGTAAGGTCTGTGGACATAGAGTGGAGACACGTATTAAAACAAAGGCAGTTTGGGGTAAACAGGAGAGGGTAGCCAAGAGATTCAGGGCTCATCCGAAAGTCATCGCCATAGACACATCAACGTTTTGGACTATAGGTTGGTCTCTCAGACCACCCACATTTTTCACATTTGGGCTTCTGAAAAAAAAAACAGTTTTGACCTGCCACTTAAGCAGCAGCAGATTTCATATAAAGGTTCATAGGACCTTTACAAACTGTGTAGGAGAGACAATTCCTTTCCTAATAACACATTCACCTCCTGCCTTCTAACCTTGCATTTAGAAAGATGTGTTATTATCATTCACCTGCCTAAGTCATCACTAATCCTCCGTCCATACACCCCTCCCCCAGTCTCCAGGACAGAAGTGAAGCTCAGAAAAACAGCCTAGGGGCCAGAGCAATAATACAGCAGGGAGAGTGTTTGTCTTGTCACCATAGCCTTGCACCAGGCTAACTGGGGTTTGATCCTGGCACCCCATATGCTCCCACAAGCCCCAACAAGAGTGTTCCCTGTGCGCAGAGCCAGGAAGTAAGCCCTGAGCACTAAAACGAGTGTTGTCCAAAAACAGGGGGAAGAAAAGGAAAAACAGCCTGGATTCAAGAAATACTAAAGGCACGTTGGTGGTAGCTCCAAAAGGAAAAACGGGGAGAGGCACAGGGACTAGAGCCTGAACACAGCTGAACACCCTGAACACAGCTCAGTGTGGCCCAAAATTTAAAAAAAAAGAGGGAGTGGAGGCACAAAGGGGACTCCAACTGTGTGTTTTGAGAGGAAAAGCACAGCTCCAAAGGGTTAACATTCCTTACAGAAATACAGGAGTGTTTGTTAGTTCTTCAGACTTTCCTGTGGTGCTGTACACAAAATACACAAAATACAGGAGTATTTGTTGGACAGTTCTTCAGACTTTCCTGTGGTGGTGTACACAAAATACACCAAATAAAGACACTCCTGCTTATGGCGCCATTTGAAATATCCCAATTCCATTAAACTTTGATCACAAGTACCTTTCATTATCTCTTGCTGACCTTTTCCACCAGAGCTTGCTTATTGGAAACATGATCTGTAATTACATCTATCTACCCTGAGCTACCCTGAGACCTTGCAAAAGAAACACAGGCATCAGAACAAAAGAAATGAATCACTGGGAGCAAAATGACACTCTAAGTATAAGAGCACATGATCTTGGAGCATCTGAAAAAGAAAATTAGCAATGATGTGAACGGCCACTTCACAAAGAATGCAAAGGATGCAGTCTTTGGTCAACTGTCTTTGAATTTTTTTTTATTATAATGTAGGAGCACTGCTATTTATTCAGCCATTGATTAAGCTCTCTTTGAATTTTGCCAAATGGATAGGCTTATACCCACAACACTGCCAAAGAGAAGTGATAAATCTCATATATGAATCAAAACCAGTAGAGAATCAGTGAAACATTTAGGTCAATAGCCTTAAAAATACTATAAATGCTATTTTTCTCCCCCTCGGCTCACAGTGCCCCAAACACACCACATAAGAATAAATAGTCAATATAATCAAACCACACATATCTGGACATTTTTTAGGACATCCAAAAGCCCATCAGAGTATTTCATGATAAACTACCATCAAGGCTACTCACACACATGAATAAATATCCTACCTATACTATTCCTTCAAACGAACAGCCTCCTACAGGCACTGACCACAAGAGACGCCAAGAGATCTTTATCCTTCTTCAACCATACCAGCTCTCCTCCCAATCTTCTCAGCCAGCAGCCAATCTTACCTCTTTGCTTCTTCCAAATGACAGAGGTACTCATAAGCCACATTCTGACGCCTCCTTTCATCCATCTCCTCTGCAGTAAGTCTCTCATTATCCAGGACAGCTACAACAGGAAAGAAAGAATGTAAACACAAGAATCTTATTTTTCCTATGAATAAAAGTTTCCTAACCTTCCTAAGCATAAAAAAATAAATAAAAGAATGAGTGCCAGAGCACCAAATTCCTGCCAGTCCCTGAGAGAAACAGGGGACCCCAAGGAGATGTGGACAGCAGGTACACTACACATCCACCTTTCTGAAACAGGAGCCAGGGGGTGGATTCCTCTTGCCCTCTGTAGAAGTCCAACAATAGGAACAGGAACTAATTTTAATCAAAACTGAAATATATTACTTTGAGACTGTGACGCAAATTTGTCCAGGCCCATCTGCTAGGCTCTTGTTAAGTCTGTATCTGAGGGGCTGGAGAGGCAATACAACGCAGAGCGCTTGCCTTGTGGCCAACCTGGGTTGGGTCCTTGGCACCCCATTCGGTCCTCTGAGCACTGCCAGGAGTGATTCCTGAGTGCAGAGCCAGCAGTGAACCCAGAGCACCGCCAGGCGTGGCCCAAAAACAAAGCAAACCCAACTACATCCGAACCTGATCATGCTGTCTTTTATTAATCAACCACCAAAACCACGACGGACGACCTCCCACAATCCGGTGATCACGGCTTTACAACTGACAGGTGAGGGTACAGGCGTAGGGGGAGGGGCGCGTACGTGGTGGGTCCTGGATTCACACCCGCGCGACCTGACTGGGAGCTTAACCCGGACGCTACCTGCCTCCTTCCTGGAAACCCCGCGCGGGGCAAACCCTGGCTCCTCCTGGGCTGATACTCAGGCCCTCCCACGAGGGCCTCAAACGGCTTTTGGAAACGTCTCCCTCCTCACCCACGCCCCCTGCCCGGGTGCAGGCCCCAGCTCCGCGCCCGTCTCGCCGCAGCGGCCGTGCACCTGTCCGGCCTCGCGCGGACGCCCTTACTCGGCTCACAGCTCAGCGCGGCGACACGCCGACCCCCTGTAGCTGTCCGCACGTCGCTCCCCGACAACCTCAAGCCTCCCAAGGCCGGGCCTCCTCCGGGGCCCCGGGTTCGGGAGAGGTGCGGGCCGGCCGGGGAGGAAGTCGGAGTGGGGCTGGAAATCCCTGCGGGGAGCTAAAGGCCGCGGGGCCGCCGCGACGGGCAGGCGGGGGCTCGGGGCGCGCACGCGGGCGCCCGGGCAGCTCCCCGGCTCCGGAGCCCGGACACGCCCTGCGCCCGGCGGCTGCCACCTCAGCCGGGCCGCCCCTCGATCTCGGGGCGCCGCGGAGCAGGCGGCGCGGGGTGGGGCCCTACAGCCGGCCTCCCGGGCACGGGGGCACGGGGGCCTCGAGGGCCGCCCGCCTCGCCTCACCCATCTTCCGGGGCCGCGCGGCCCGGAGCCGCCCACCCGGCCGGCCCCCAGGGACAACCGCGCCGGGACCCCAAGCCCGCCGCGCCGCCGGCCCCGCACTCACAGCCATAGTGCGGCCGAGCCACGCCCAGCCCGTCAACCTCCTCGCTGGCGGACATGGCGGCCGAGCCCGGGACGCTGTGGCGGAAGCCGGGAGACCGAAGAAGCGCGGGCGTCGGCGGCGGCGGCTCCTGCCGAGTGCGCGGGCTGCCCGGGACCGGAGGCCCCGCCCCTCCCCGCCCTACTACATAGAAGCAGTCGGGAGGGGCGTGTCCATGCCGCCAAGCACCGCCTCTGTTCCCGCCCCATCCCTGGGCCCCGCCCTATCAAATAAAGAGCGGCGGTAAGGAGGGGCGTGCCCATGCCGCCAAGCCCCGCCTTTTAATCCCGCCCTTCGGTCCCGCCCTACCGAATAAAGGAGCGGCCGGTAAGGGGGCGTGCCTATGCCGCGAAGTCCCGCCTCTCTTTTCGCCCTCTCCCGAGCCGCGCGACGCCCTCCGTGGGCGGAAAAAGGAGGCGGAGCCTGAGCATCAGTTGGGTTGGCTGTCGGGGCCGGGGCGGGGAAGGCCTGCCCCACCCTCGGCGCCCGGCCCCTTTCCCGGACACCGCCCAGTCTTCACCTCCGGAAAGGCTGCGGTGTCTGGTGGGACGAGAACCTGGGCCCCTCCCTTCCCCTGCCTGAGCTACTGAGCTCCTCTGCACCCAAGGCCTCCTGTAAGGACACTCAGAGAGTTCTTGCGGGATTGGCACGGGCAAACCCAAAATGCCTTAGGGACACACAATCTGGCTATTCGGCCTCAGTCGCCAAATCGGAACTAGTCAGCCGCCCCTGGCACTTGAAAAGTGGATGCCAAATCTAGAGAACCGGTTTGTCCCAATTTCCTTCCCTTAGAACTCCTGACATTGTTTCTTGCAATTTTTTTTTGCTTTTTGTTTTGATGGAAAGTCTTTGTTCCTTTAAGGATCTTCACACCCCTTGCACTCTGTGGCCTGCATTTAAAATAGGAGCATTTTAAGGAAGTCTGTCCTGGCCCTCTCCATTTCTCAGGTTGCCAACTCTGAGTAACTTGATCCACGTACGTACGCCTTAAACTGCTAAGAAGCCCAAATATGTGTCCAGACTAGTCCCTAGGAGCCCTAACTTTACTTTCAGCCTTGTAATGGCCATTATGGACATTTTCTCAGACAACCCCTTCACCCTTACCCGTCCGGAGAGCTCAGGGTCTCCACACCTCAATCACAATGCTGGCAGCTCTGCAGTCTGGTCCCTGAGCTACCTGCACCCACAACCAGGTGTGGAACAGCAATATGGATATTCCACTAGCAATGTTCAAAACCAAGCCTGAGTGCAGAGGCAGGAATAAGCCCCGAACACCAACAGGTGTGACCCAGCACCCATCCCCCATGAAGATGTGCAGGCACCATGGGAAGGAAGGGCATCTCCTGAAACCTGGTAACAAGTATCTGAACTCCCCTGCCCTGGCAACCAGCACTGCAACAGGAAGATGCAGAACATGTGTAAGCACTGTGGGGGCCAGAGCCATAGGATAGTGGTAGGGCGTTAGCCTTGCACACGGCCAACCCAAGTTCAATCCCTGGCATCCCACATGATCCCCTGAGCACAGCCAGGACTAATTCCTGAGTGTAGAGCCAGGAATAACCCCTGGACAGTGCCAGGTACAAAAAATGAGTATTAATGACACTGATCCCAGCCAGCACCTCTGCAAAGCCTGTGGTCACTGCAGCTTGATGCAGGACCCCACTGAACTCCACAACTAAAATCTTCCAGCACCACCCCCAGGTGCTGAGGGCACACAGCAAGAGGCAGAGTTGGAATCCAAATCCAGGTCTAATGAGAAAATTCATGTAGAATCAAAGAAGTGCACTGGCTGCTCACCTCTCCTGGACTATCAGATAACAGACAGCACTACAATAGAGGGATTTGAGTCTGGGGCTATTCCTGGCTCTGTGCTTCTGAATGCCCCCTGGCAGTGCTCAGGAAACCACCTGAAGTACCAAGGATGAAGCTGGCGTCCTTGCCAGAGCAGCCACAAGCACAGCAAGTATCTTACCTCCTATAGTTCTCTGGCCCCAGCAACATTTTGTTTTGGTTTATATTTACATTCTTTTGAAAGGGAACGAGAAACAACTCATATATAATATATATGTACATCAGGGTCCTCCCGTTATTCATCGATTTGTTTGCGCGGGCACCAGTAATGTCTCCATTGTGAGACTTGTTACCATTTTTTGGCATATTGAATACCTCACGGATAGCTTGCCAGGCTTTGCTGTGAGATGGGAATACTCTCGGTAGCTTGCCGAGCTCTCCAAGAAGGGCAAAGAAATAAAACCAGAGTCAACCGCATGTGAGGCAAACGCCCTACCCGCTATGCTTTGGCTCCAGCCCATATATATGTATATATTTAGAAAATCTTTCTGGTTTTTTTTCTGGAGGGGGTGCTATACCTGCCAGATCTGCCTTTAGAAAGGTTGTGTTTGGATTGTAGCAGGTCAGAGAGAAAGGGCCCAGTGGGCAAGGATGCAGATTTTGCATACAGGAGGTCTGAGTTTAATCCCCAGCACTGCATGACCCCCTAAGAAACACTAAAAGTGAACACTGAGAACAGAGGCAGGGTAGCTCCTATTACTGTAAGCCTCGCACATGCCCAATCTGGGTTCCCCAGAACCCTATATGGTCCTCCAAACCCACCAGGTTCCTGAGCACAGAGCCAAAAATAAGCCATGAGCACCACTGGGTGCAACCCCCCAAAAATAAAAAATAATAACTATTAGGAAAAAGGGAGGGAGGGAGGCATCTATGATAAAGATACATTTGAGCTAGAACTGAAGCATAAAAAATCAGGACTAAAGAGCTTGAAAGCTTGACTCTACCATTTGGGGTAACTCTGCTTCTCCAGGGTCTGCTCTGCTCCCTTCTTGAGATCCTCCCACACCTTCCTCCATTCTAAGGTTTCATGTTTCCTCACAATCTTGACTTCTATCTGCTTATCATGGTCTTACTTTGAGACCATGCATACCAGCTCCTAGAGGAAATCTCATGCTGCCAAACTCCATAACTTAGTGGCATACAATTTAGCAACTTATCTTTTCATCCACTGGTCTGTCTCTGGCCATTCACAAATCAAATGTCTATCCTGAATTTAATTCACAGTGGTTGGGGCCAAAGCAATAGTACAGCAGATGGCTTACCCGGGTTCGATCCCTGGCATCCCATATAGTCCCCCCAAACACCACCAGGAGTGATTCCTGACTACAGAGTCAGGAATAACCCCTGAGCACCGCCAGGTGTGACTCAAAAAGATAATCACTTGATCACTTGATATCCGGCATCGATTTGTTCGAGCAGGTGCCAGCAACGTCTCCATTTGTTCCTGTCGAGTGCTAGTGTAGCCCAATGGTGTCTGCTCGCTTCAGGAACATGAAGAGCCTCAAACCATTTGTTCAGGTTATTGATGAAGAAGTCTGACGATCTCGTAGGTGGGCGGCCATGCGTTCTTTTGACATCATGTGGAATCCAGTCGGTAATAGCTCTAGTCCAGCAGTTGTCTTCAAATCACATTACGTGACCAGCCTATCTGATTTTCAATACCTTGGCAAACGAGACAGCGTCCCTGATTCTCGATTGTCGATGGAGGTCAAAACTCCGGATTTCTTCTCTCACTTGAGTGAAGCATGATATTCCAAGCATAGCTCTTTCGATTCCTCTTTGGGTGACCTGAATAGCGTTCTCATCCTGTTTTCGCAGGGCCCAGGTCTCTGAGGCATATGTTAGTGCAAGGAGAATGGCGGAGTTGAAGAGATGTGCCCAGAGTCATAGGTTCTTTGTCCTCTTAGCTATTTCTTCGATGCTCTTGAAGGTGTTTCACACTGCTCTCTTCCTCCTGCACAGCTCAGGTGCTAGGTCGTTCGTCATGTTGAGTTCTCAACCTAGGTACACAAAATAACATCATTCAAAGAGATCGTGGGAGACTGCCAATTCTGTTTTTTTTTTCTTTTTGGGTCACACCTGGCAATGCACAGGGGTTACTCCTGGCTCTGCACTCAGGAGTTACTCCTGGCGGTGCTCAGGGGACCATATGGGATGCTGGGAATCGAACCCGGGTCGGCTGCGTGCAATGCAAACACTCTACCTGCAGTGCTATCTCTCGCGCCCGAGACTGCCAATTCTGGAGAAAAATCTGTACTGGGCATTATTTCCTTCAGTGGGAGGCTGGGACTGCAAATGATGGTACACTAAGTCAGCGCTCACTTAGAAAGTCAGTTTAAGGGAAACAACGTACAATAAAACCAATCTGACCATCTGTTCATTAATATAAACAAGGGTTAAGCTTCCTGACAGAGCTAAAATTTAGTGGTAAGGCCCTGACTTGCATGTGGCCTGTCTGGAGTATGATTCCTGCATATGGTTTCCAAACAATGCCTGGAGTGATCCTGTGAACAAAGGTAGAGACAGCCCCTGAAAACAGGCAGGTGTGGTCACCAGAAACCCCCTATCCCTCCTACTCTGTGCACTTGCATCACAAACACACACACACACACACACAGACACTGAATAAAACAGTTATTCCAGCAATATTTTTTCTTTTGTTGTTTTGTTTTGGGCCATACCTACAGTGCTAAGGGATTACTCCTGATTCTGCACTTAGGAATTAACTCCTGATGATTCTCTGGAGACCACATAGGATAACAGGGATGGAACCCGGGTCCTCAGTGTGCAAGGTAAGCAAGCACCTTACCTGCTATACTAATTTTCCAGTCCCCTCTATTGTATTTCTTAACAAATTATTAACTAACATGATACCACTTTTGCTTGAAAAAGTATGTAAGTAGATACGGAAGTATGCCTGTGAAGAGGCAAGGCCTGGAGGTATTACCTAAGGAAAGCTTCAAGGAAAGAGTAAGAAAGAATATAGGTTGGGGACACACAGCTCTATGTTCGAGAGGTCAGGGCACTGGTGGTCCATGCATCAGACCTTGTGCTACAAAACAAAAATAAAGAACAGTTACCCTGTGACTGGAGAGTTCCATTCTTAGATATACAGCTCTGTGTGTGTGTGTGTGTGTGTGTGTGTGTATGTGTGCGCATGCCAAATGTGCACTAAAGAAATGCTGAACATTAAAGCCAGAAATGACCTAAATGTTGATAGAAAATAGATAAA